AAGTAAGGCATGAACTAAAAGCCTGGCTATCTCAGTAGTAAAGTTCTGATTCTTAAAGATTTTTCTCCATGGAAGTATCAGATTTTAAGGGGTTTTTTTTTATTTTTTATTTTTAGTGAAAGATTTTAAAGACAGTCTAACATCAATTTGGATTGTTAAGTTCCTCACAGACGGGGAGATCTGTAACTGGCAATCTTGGAACTCAAAGTCAGATACAGGAAGGGGAATGATGAGATGATCAGAGTGGAATACAGTAATCTCTTAGCCTTATTCAGTGTTCAGTTAAAGAATGGTAGGAGTACATTCAGTCTCAAATCCTCCCTAGGCAGTTGGAGAGAGATGCCCATGTCATGACGTCCAAGGCAGGGAGAGGCAAATCTCAAAGTCATCAGCAAAAATGTAGTAGCTGAACTTGGAATATAAAGTCAGAGAGCCTAGTGGAAGATTGTATAAAGAGAATAAGGAGAGACCCAACACTGAGTCCTAAGGAACTGCTATTTGATGGGAAAGATTGAGAAATGGAACCATTCCATGAAACTGAAAACATCTTGTGAATAGATCAGATTGAAACCATTGAAGTGCCCTACCTGCAGTGCCAAAGGAACCCAGTTGTGGCAGTAGTATTTCGTAGTCCAGGCTGTCAAAAGTGGCCAATAGATCTAATAGCACTAATTTTGAAGACCAATAGTTCATCTTAGTCACCAGCAAGTCATTCATATGAACTCTGTAGAATATCTCACAAGAAAACTTGATTGGAATAGGGCCATATGATTATTAGTAGAAAGGCGAAGTGAAAAATGAGAATATTCTTTCAAAAACCTCAGGTAAAAAGGGAAGGAGAGACACTAGAACAATCAATGGAAGACTTTTTAAATAAAGGACATTCACGGATATTCATTTGTGTTATCTGTGTTTGCTTTGTGCTTTCTCTCTCTCTCTCTGATTTTGAGCTGTCTTTCAATCAATCTCCTTCTACTCCTAAACACAGTGCCTCTTCCAACTACCCTTGCCCATCACTTCTCCCATTTCTTGCTATGTTTGCAGTTCCTGTTGCCCACGTCTAGCATGCACTTCATCCAAATGATATGAAATAGAGAAGTTTGATCAACAAAACTATTAGCTAACCAGCAATTTCTTTCTCTTTCTATAGATCAGCTGTTTCATGTGTTGGCTATGCACATGAGACTCTACAGCATTGATTCTGCTTACAATCCATGGAAGAAACTAACACAATTGATACATGATGAAGAACTGGAGTAAGTACAAAGATATTTTAAATTTTCATCTTGTTTTAATTAAGGGAAGTTACATAATCCTGTTCCTCAATCCTGTTTACTGTAGGTTGAGCAACCCACAGCCTCAAGAACTGCGTGTAGCTTCTGAATTTTTACTTTTTTATTGTTTTTATTGTTTTTATTTTTTATTTTATTTATTTTTGTGGTGTCCCAAGTCCCCTGAACACACCATGATTGCAAAAATCAGTTTTGTATTTTCTTGCCTTTAGGGTGTATAAAACTGTGGTGTAATCCTTAGAATAGGCTTTCCAGACTTCAAAAAACCCTGACAATAGCAGACCCACCCAGTTAGTGATATTGTTTGTGTTCCTTAGTAAACTGAAATATGTTAAATACACCACAGGAAAGCACATATTGGCCAAATGTGTGATCAACTTTATTTCAAGTGACTGTGGCTTGTTCAGCAGCTCATTGTTTTATAAAAAAAATCTTGGGTTAGCACAGGTGCAGGAAACCTTTTGGAACGGTGGGTACATTTGGAATTTAGAGATCATGTCCTCGGCCCTCAGACAAAAGGACTGCTATCTTGTGTGTCCACATAAAGGCTGCTGCGGTAGGTGCGGCTAGTCACAAAACCTACATTTATCAGAAAGACAATTGGTTGGTTGCTTCTCCCCACCCCTTCTAAATTCCCATGATGTCCCCAGCCATCCTTACCGTACCTTTGTCTTTCTTTCCTGAGCATCTAGAGCAGTGTTGTCCAAACTTGGCCACTTTAAGATGAG